TTCACAGTATCACTCCACCTACAGCATACACCTGTAGGGGGAGTGCTGGTTCTATCCCTGTCATCAAATAGACTGGCTGTAAGCTGAACAGTCGCTGTGTTGTTCTTAATTCAAGTTATATTCTCCCTGATTCAGGGGTGCAACATGTGCGCCCAACAAAGAGAGCGTACTGAACAAATCAGGCAGCAGATTGTTGTAGCCCTCAAACCAATCCACATGCACATCCACATGCAGCTAAACCATCCTTTTACTGAATGTGGAAAAAATGTTGTTGGTTAAGACTGGCTGAGTAAAGTAATAGTCACTGATACTCAAGTGCCATATATAATCTACCCCCTCCAGCCTCTCCGGGCTCCTCACAGCATGTCATTTCACCACCATGAATGTATAGGCTGCTTCACTAATTTGTAGCTGCTGAGGTGCACGATATCTTCTCACTTTGTCGTTGAGCCTGCAGAAGTCCGTGTATCTTCTGAAGATCACCCAGCTGTCTCCCTGACTCCCCGCCACCAGGATTTTATAAACCTACAGATCACAGATGACTATATGACAAATAACAGACACATGTATTGGTTTGCGCTGAGTGCCTTAGCAAGTTGACACTGTACGCGTGTGCATTTCAGGTGCACATAAGAACAAGAGCAGCAGGATAGTACAACATGTATAAAGAACTGTAAATGCATCCTTTAAAAACAGCTGTAATGTCAATAAGATGATCTGTAATAAAGCATTTATAACACATTAAGAAAGTCTGGGTGACGTATTTCACCCCTCTTCTCACAACAAACTGTAAACTGCAATATTATTCCTGTCACTGTTGTTCAGGTTTTCTCAGAGTGAGTGGATTCGTCTTGCTGTCTGGGTGTACGTCAGCATAAATATGAATGAGATGTCATTACAAGCAATGCTGCTCAGGCAGCCGCATGCATATTATAAAATTAAACCTGAATCATTGATGACAAGTTCTTGATTTAGAAAGCCAACAGCTGCTCTCTCTTACTAGTTGTTTTATTTC